AGTCACTTTATTGCAGTAGTTTTTCTTTTAGTCAGCAGAAAATGTGGTTAACAAACACAGATGAGCATAAAAAGAAAAATACAGTGACAATTGTTAAAAATACCGTGATATAAAATTTTGGTCATATCGCCCAGCTCTATTCTGTAGTGTTTTTAGTGATTAATAATTAACAGAGGTATGGCTGCTTGTGAGTATTTACTTACGTATAGCCACAGAGATGTGGAAAGTTATGTATCGGGGTTAAGAGGTGCAAAAGACAGGTGTTTATCTCTGCTCCCCTGTCCTCTTCCYTTTGTCTTCGAAACGAGCTGAGGTGGTCAGAACCCAGGCCAGTAACGTTCTGGGGCYTCTTCTGAATGAGCCTCGAATGTTTATGTTCCAGTTTTCCTAGCAGCCTTGTGGAAATTTGGCGCTTCACCTCATGTGACACAAATGTCATGATAAGTTTTGAATAATAGTTCAAAACAAAAGTCTTAACTTCAACTCACATTCCTTATACGAAAGCTGAGATATCGACTCTCGATGATGTAATTGTGCGACAAAAATCACATCATTCTGTTCTTGTAGCTTCATCCACCCTTTCTCAARGCAAGGCCTGGGCTGAACTTTTTTTAAGAGTGTTGTGTGATTGCTCAGAAGTTTGTGGCGTTTTATTTATTTTTTTCTGAAGTGCRTTTTTTAATGAAGAAAAGCACTTCAGATGGCAATGTTGTCGTTTTGCTTCAGCTACTCTACTAGACCTGCAAACGACATGGGTAGTTTAGAGCAGTGATTCCCAACCAGGGGTGTGCAAGCTTATTACAGGGGGTACATGGAAAAATTTCCCAGGTGTGTAAAATAAATAAATAAATAAATAATAGGACAAATATGTAGAGCCCTACGATTTACACAATGCGGAAAATGCAAACGGAATCACGAAATTGACACAAAATGGAATCCTGTATAAAATACAGAATCTGATGGAATTTGCTCATTTGGGGTATTTGATGTATTTTGGACGCTGCTGCTTCCTGCACCTGCCTTTACCCGGTTTATTTATTTGATTACTTATTTCCTTTCAAGGCAACATATTTAACTTTGTTTAATTTGAGTTGAAAATAATAAAATGAAGAGAATTAAACATTCTAGGGGGTTAAGTAAATAATTTTCATTTAATAATCAGTTGTTGTACATTATAGTTTTGGAGAGTCATCATTATGTTTGACAGAGTGTGTACTAGTGGTATGACAAAATGGCTCAGGTGTACACAAGTCTAAAAAGGCTGGGAACCACTGATTTAGAGGAGTAGTTCGAGGTTGTCAGAAAARACATCCATCTCTAACTTTTCTAGATACACTTATAAATACAGTCAAATAGCCCAGGAGCTGTGCATCACGTGTTTTGTTGGACTATGAAAAGTGTGCACAACAATAACATCTCACAACACTTTACCGCAACCTGACTTTGTATAAAACCACCTTAAGTTTGTGTGACTCACTGTAAACCTTTGGAGGTTGGAGCTGTTTTAAGARGGCAGCAGTCCATGTTGCTGTTGACCAGCTGTAATCAATTCAGTCAGAATTAAACAGAAGCTGTTCAAAGAACCGTCTGTTACAAGGAAAACATCAAAGCATTGACTCACTTCAAAAGTTATAAACTATCCTTTTTGTGATTTGTATTGTCTCTCTCTTTGATTAGTCCAGACAGCGAGCCCTTACATCGAGATCATCGAGCAGCCAAAGCAGAGGGGGATGAGGTTTCGGTATAAATGCGAGGGACGTTCAGCCGGCAGCATTCCTGGAGAGAAAAGCAACGACACAACAAAGACTTATCCAGCCATAAAGGTTAGTTAACACTGTTTACTCTTTTATGAAGGGAATAAACAAAAACAGTTGTAACCTTGTCCACCACACTTCTTGCTCAAACAGCTTAATGTGAAAGGCGGGGCTGCATAATTTAATGCATGAAAGAAGTGAGAACTGTACTAGCAACAGTGTTTCTTTATGCCATATAAAGAGTTCACACTCAATAGGTCAGGATATTTGTGTGTATCTGTGACCYTTTGCTTTTGTAGTTAAGATAAACAAARACAATCACAGAAACGATGAGGGGGYYAAWGTGTAGAGGTCCTTTTTCCTCTAAATGTTAGGTCTGCTYCACAAGTTAAAGCACACAGGAGGAAGGACATGATGCAGATCCTTTGCTGTGGCTTTGTGCTGACAGCGCTTTAAGAATGTGTCCATATATAGGTTTCTCAGTAAGTTCTTAAAAATATATAAGAGTACCACAAATATTAACTGTTTCTGCAAAGACAAATAGGTTACATTTACAGTAAATTACTTGGCTACTTCCATACCAAGTTTTAACTCTATCTGTAAAACATTGAGTTATTGCCTTTTTATATTTGCTCATAAATGGAGTTCAGTCCAAGGAGTTGCAGATATACATCCAAGAATTGCTTCCTGTTTCYTTAAAATCTGTTTTGTGGTTTATGAGATGTTTTGCTAGCACAGACACTCTGACTTTACTTCAACTGTAAAACAAAGACTGTAAAAATACTGTAGGCTGTTTAGTTTTGATAAATATTTGAAAATATATTGAAAAGGAAATGAAGTGTGTTTGACACAGAGATGAATGTAGAATGTAGCTGAAAATGGAGGACAACAGAGCTGCTTCATGGAAYAAGAACCTCAGCTTAGCCTATTAGCTTTCACTTTAGCGCCCAAGCTAATACATATAACACGGCAATTTAGCTCTGGAACTAACACCATATATATTCATCCATACATTGGGCCTCATGCAAGAACCATTCGTACACACAGATTTGTTGCGCGACGGTGTGTCTTCTGAATAAATGAAAATGATTTAACACTGTTGTTTATAGTTTTAGCAGCTCCTTTTATTCCACAGCTGACTTGCTAAAAATGACAGATTTTCTTTTCTGGATCTCTGACAGACGGACTTCAATCTCTGAACTCCTGAAGTTTTTCTTTTTAATTATCGCGGTCATTTTTCATGAATGAACACTTCCTTGT